CACACACACACACACATATATATATATATATATATATATATATATATATATAAACACACACATTATTATACAGGTGAAACTCAAAAAATTTGAATATCGTGCAAAAGTTCATTTATTTCATTAATTCAACTTAAAGGAGAACTCCGGCACAAAATGAACCTTTGGTCTAATTACACATTGTTACCTAGTCAACCGTTATCTGAGATTTGTTTTCATGATTATCGAATGTAAATAGTTTTATCTCTAAAAACAGTTTAGCCTATAAAGCTAGTATAACGCTAGTATATTGGGCATAGTGTAATGACAAATAAAAATCGCTTGTTAATACCACTAACAAGGCTGAAAATAGACCCACACTAACACGGTAGCATAATGAGGGTCCCTACCTTCAAACCGAAGCATTGAGAACTTTGTAAGTGTACAGACAGTTTAATAAGAAGATATTTTAAACATACAGTCAACTTCGCGTATACAGGCAGAAGCCATCTTTGAAATACAGCCTTTACCAGTCGATCTACGAACGCCGATCCAAGTGCGCTGGTGAGAATGTGAACGAGCTATAAGTTGTTATAAGGTGAGCGCGAACAGCAGGCTTGGATCGGCGTTCGTAGATCGACTGGTAAAGGCTGTATTTCAAAGATGGCTCCTGTCTGTATACGCGAAGTTGACTGTATGTTTAAAATATCTTCTTATTAAACTGTCTGTACACTGACAAAGCTCTCAATGCTTCGGTTTGAAGGTAGGGACCCTCATTATGCTACCGTGTTAGTGTGGGTCTATTTTCAGCCTTGTTAGTGGTATTAACAAGCGATTTTTATTTGTCATTGATCTATGCCCAATATACTAGCGTTATACTAGCTTTATAGGCTAAACTGTTTTTAGAGATAAAACTATTTACATTCGATAATCATGAAAACAAATCTCAGATAACGGTTGACTAGGTAACAATGTGTAATTAGACCAAAGGTTCATTTTGCGCCAGAGTTCTCCTTTAAAGGTCAAACTAATATATTATATAGACTCATTACATGCAAAGTGAGATATTTCAAGCCTTTATTTGTTATAATTTTGATGATTATGGCTTACAGCTTATGAAAAGCCCAAATTCAAAATTAGAAAAGCTTTTCATAAGCTGTAAGCCATAATCATCAAAATTATAACAAATAAAGGCTTGAAATATCTCACTTTGCATGTAATGAGAATGCACAATATTCAAATTTTTCGAGTTTCACCTGTATATATGTGTGTGTGTGTGTGTGTGTGTGTATATATATATATATATATATATATATGTATATAAATACTATATTACATTTGTAATTTTGACTACCAAAGATGAGTTCTAAGGGATAAAATTATTGATTTTAAAACAGCAGATATGGCCGCGCATGGGTTTAGAAGGCTTCATCCTAAGGCTTCAGTTAGGTTTTTAGACTATATTACAGGGCAGAAGAAACATTTATTGTGATTACTTATTTACTAAACATCACATATCTATGCTTTTGGTTTATAAATGCCAAAACCCACTCCAGGTCGTGCTCTTCCTCAAAATGCTACACTCATTTACATTATTTCATGAACAAGAATACTGTGAGAAAAATATCCGATCAATTTTTAAATGGGCAACATTTATTTGAAACAGAACAGTGTGGCAATTTGAAAGTGATTAGTTGAATTTTAGATAGCATATTTAACATCAGAGACAAAGGCAGTGAACGATGAGGAAGGACATACTGATGGAGAATTCACACTGCGCTTTGGCAGAGAGGCTTCATATACAACATTGAAGTAATTGCTGTCAGCCCAAGACAGTGCAGTGGGAATACCGCCAGAGGCAAATAGAGTACAGTAGGTGTTCCAATTTAAAGACTCGCTCAGTATGGGTTTGGGGGGAAAAAAAGAAAAGAAAAGGAAATTAACATATTAGCTGGCATATGGTTGTGATGTAAAACTAATGGCTAGAGAAATACAATGCATTTTTAGCTATAATGATGAACAATCTGACCGGTCAAATAGAAGTCCCAGCTACATGCCTTAAATAGAATCTACAGTAACTGCAACAATTTGATATGATCTTGGTATTTAAAGGGACAGATCCCCCATAAATGAAAAGTCTTCATGTCGTTCCAAACTGTTTTAAGCAGTATAAAGATCTCCTTTTATGTTCGATGGAAGAAAGTCAAGCGAGTTTAGAATGACATGAGGGGGATAAAATAATGACAGAGCGATTCCTTTAACTTGGGTCTACTGTGGGCTCCACATTTCTAAGCCTCTTAGCATTGTCTCTTTGTTTTCAGAGATGAATTAGTCTAAATAGGCAAATACTGCAATGATTATTCATAAACAGAAAGCATCTTTAAAACGCTTTAAAAATTTTACATGAATATTCCGTCGCGTGAGATAAGGACATGTTAATGCTTGATTATGGGCAAACAAAAGTGCTGATGAGGTGAACTAATTATGGAAGCATAATTCCATGCCACATTATTAATTACAGAGATATGACCTGTGAGCACAGCTCAAGAACACACACACACACACACACGCACACACACACACACACGCACATACCCACATAGTTCCAGAACAGTAAATTTGAGAGGTTGGTATTAATTTAAGCAAAATTAGAGCAAAGAAAATTTATTAAAGGAATAGTTCACCCCAAAATTAAAATGATCCCATAATTTATCCTGGCTCTTCCCAGCATTGAATAGAGCCTGAGTTTTTGAAACTCCAAAAAGCGCATCCATCCATCATTAAAAATAATCCATACGACTCCAGTGGGTTAACAAATGCCTTTTGCGTATGACGCAGTGTAATCTTAGGTGAGAATTGACGAACGCGGATCCAGAGGATAAAAGTCCGAGGATTTCGATATAAGAGAAGAGGAGCTACGTCCTTTTATACGTCGGGTCAGAGATCACCCTTCCGCCAGAACTCGACTCTCTCATGAACACAGATGTATGGCCATTGCTGGAAGCCAGTGATTATAGTTTATAAAGTTTTAAATATGGATATTTTTCTTACAAAAACCCATTGGTTCGCTTTAGAAGGCCTTTATTAACCCACTGGAGTCAAATGGATTACTTTTTTGATGGATGGATGAGCTTTTTGGAGCTTCAAAAACCATTACAAAGCAGGGAAGAGCCAGGATAGTATTTAATATAACTCTGAAAAAAGTCATATATACCTAGGATGTCTTGCGGGTGAGTAAATTATGGGGAAATTTTCATTTTTGGGTGAACTATTCCTTTAAGGATATGCAAAATATAAAACTGTTTTGTTTAATGTCTTAAATTTGTAGTTATATCTATGTTTTATCATACAAAAAAATAGTGCATTAAAAAACCGAACGATCTTAAGAAGCATTTTTCTTTAAACTGAACTACTTTCAACTGGGATGTGACGAGACACGAGATTGGGTTCACGAGAACGAGACGAGATTTTTGTACAGTATTTTTAAGAAATCCTCAATGACAAAATGAATGATTGCAGGTGTATTTTGAAATGTTTCGACTAATCATTTTGTAATGAATGTCATTTCAGCTCTGCATTCTGAGTATGAATTATCATATGCATTGAAAGACAACAATATACAAGCACTGTAAAAGGTTTAGCTACAAACTCAGCTGACTGGCTTCTCTCCTGTATGATTTCACATGAGTCTCTTCAGACCTTACTGTACATGAATTATGAGCTTCCAGAACTCCTAATTGAACTCGTTTCCACAAATTGAACACAGAAAACGGTATAACAAAAACAGTATAAAAACAAAAATAACAGTTTTTCTCAGTCTTATTGAGTGCAAACAATAAGTGCAACCATAATCAAAGATTATGATCAGTGAACTGTGATTCCTGCTGCACTATGTGTGACTCGGCAGCTCATGCTATTAAAATAGTTTACAATTGAAGTGACCGTTATCCAACTGATTTAAACGTTTTTTGTCTCTATAAAAAGCAAAACAACAGGGGAGGCGGTGCCTGCGGTTGGCACTGTAATGTAAACATAGCAGTGGCATAAACAATGCTAATTTAACCCTGTATTTACAATGTCGCGATACAGCTTTTCACCTCGACGAGAAATCTCATCACATTTAATATGGGCTTTTCTCATAAAATATTTATATATTAATTTAATGTAAAACAAATTTTTTATCAATTTATCGCCTTTAGAATAACTAAACTGCCAAATTCTTTAGCTAGTGTTAGCATGTTGCCAAGCTAATTGTGCACTATTCTAATAAACATGAAAGTACACAACAAACAAATAATAACTGTTTATCAATACTATTCGTTTTTTAATTGATTGTTCAAATATTTACAATGAATATCTCCAACACTGTCCACCAGATTTAATCTATTTTTCACTTTTGCTTGTCGTCATGCATTTTGGGATTGCACAGAAATAAAAATATATTTAATTACTTAATTATTAGCTTGTCACAATAAATGCATTTACATTACTTGCAAAGTATTAAGGTTCATTCATGACATGTCATAAGTAACGTAAAATTCTGACTTGTAAAAAGTGTTCACGTCCTCGTAGAACTTGTAAACTCGGAATTTTCTGAAAGCCCCGACTTGGACCACCTGACCACTGCAAATTCATTTTGACAGTGTTGCACGAACAGCTCAGAGTAAAACGTCACATGTTGTCATCTCGTAATTACGATAATTGCGACATGGCGTGCATGCGGCTTTAGTTAAATGCTAGATTTCAACTGTACAGTAGTTTCTAAGGAGCGTCTTCAGCCCTGGAGAATAACCTGGCAAAAACAAGGCATCTTAGAAAGCAAAATAATTATTGGAACAGCCTTCCAGTCGAAAGCCTTCTGTAAGCAGCTCACTAGGTATTGGAACCGAGCCTAGATTTTAGAACAGAGCTTGTGTCGTCGTTACACAACGCCGTGTAACAAAAGGTGTAGTATGAGGAGAGAGCAGAGTAACTTATGTGAAGCGTGGGGTGTTTGAAATGTGAAAAACAAACTTCAGTCTCACCTAGAGTAGTTGAAGAGTCTGCTGTCCCAGAGGCTGTGTACTCCACGGGGCCCACTGTGGAAGAAACAGGAGTCAGAGCCGTCAAAGCAGTTCAGCCCGTCCTCGGTGTTCTTGGATGCGTGGCTGTGCACCACATCAAGCAGGACGATGATACCCAGAGAGTGAGCCACGTCAATCAGCTCCTTGAGTTCCTCTGGGGTGCCAAAACGACTGGAGAGAGAGAGAGAGAGAGAGAGAGAGAGAGAAGAACAGATGAAGGCAGATATCAGAGCAGCCTGGGCAGAGGTTGTCTGTCAAGCTGTAGGATCTTATTCTTGGTATGAGCTTGAATCTAGCAGTAGTTTGGGTGTTAAGCCCAACTCTTTTAAAAAGTATAGAGATATCTTTCGGGGTGTATTGCAATACACAAGATGCACATGTAGGCTTGCAGAATACAGAACATCTGCTTTCTTCAAGACGTGCTCAAGGGAATGTGTGTGTGTGTGTGTGTGTGTGTGTGTGCGTGTGTGTGTGTGTGTGTGACATTGTTGGATTTGGGTTGGAGTTGATGGCTGTCGATTAATTGTCATAATGCGATAAACAATTAGTCTGTTTTGTACATCCTCATTCTCATCTCAAGGCATATATGATTTCTTTTAAGGCTTTAAACACTTTAAAAGGCATAAATTATATTTTAAAATACATGAAAAATAATGTTATTGTATTTACAATTATTTCATATATTTATTTAAATGTATCAACTTTTATAAAAAATAAAACAAAATTAAATTAAATTAAATATAATGGAAAATACTGGAATTTAAAATAAAATAAAATACATTTTAACTACTCCAAAATAATATAAAAAAAATTAAAATTAAATAAATCAATTGTAGTTTTTCAAATATATTTGTAATCAGTATTAGGCAAGTAACTATAAAAATGTAATTAATTACTAGCTACCAATTATCTTAAACAGTGTAATTAGATTACTGTACTAATTACTCTCTCTAAAAAGTATTAATGCATTACTTATTACTTTCTAAATCCCATATCAACCTTAACCAGTTGAACAGTACAAGAATTGACAAGAATAAACTTCTCTTTTAATTCTTTCAAATAAATAAAATAAAATTGCATAAATTATTCTCGAACTGACCAAAGCATTTAAAGGGAGAAGGTTACATTAAAACATTAGGCGTTTAATTTTCATGTTAAATTCACTATTGTTTTATACACAATTGTTCAATAGTCTATACAGTATTTAACGCAATTACATTAGAAGTAACTAATTAAATTACAGAAAAAGTAAGAGTAATCCCTTACTTTACTTTTTCACAAGGGATAAGTAACAAAATTACAGTAATTAATTACTTGGTATTGCATTACACTCAACACTGTTTGTATTAATATATTTCAGATTTGTAATTTCCACATGAAAATTGCAATATCATGGCTCAGAGAAATGTAATTATTTTGCCATTTAAGAAAAAAAAAAACTAAACTGAAAGGATGAACTAAAAATAAAATGGAAATAAAAACTAAATTGTGCTTTCCTCTATAAGCTATTTTTTCAGGCTCATATCAAGAAGATCAGGTATGATGGATCCATCGGCTAAGCCAGTTGACATGTTTAGCTGCTCGAACAAACGCCAAATAAAGTCCCCTTTAAGTGGCACAGTGGTGATACGTAAGTAACGGATCGCCCCTTTTGGGATTCGAACTTACAACCTCCTGGATACCATCCCAGTTCTGCCACACTACATATGGCTGTGTGTGTGTGTGCTTATCTCAGAAAGTCATCCCCCTACACAACAGCTGTGTTTACCAATAGCAGCAGTGCGAATACATCAACCGTGCGGCCCAATTGCCGTGTAAAAACAAACAAATATGGCAGTAAATAAAAATCAATCTCAGATCGTCTACACCGTCATGGACGCTGAGCAGAGGTCAAAGCCTCGATTCGGGGTGACATATTGCTCCTTGCGGAACAAAGGGCGAGAGTGGCGCGTTTCCATGAGCGCTTCCTCACGTATCTCCTTCGTGTAATTGCTCCATGAAGCTTCATCTGTCCTCCAGCTATCATCATATCGCTTTCCCCCGGCAAACGTGACACAACAATACCCCTCCCCTCGGCCTCCGCCCCTTCCCAGCATCCAGACCTTGCACTTTTTAAACGGCTCAGGGAGATCAATCATGGGTGAAATTACTCTGTATACATTATACTCGCGCTATAGGCTGTCGCCAGCGCTAGCTGGTAAGGGCGGCCGACGGAATAAAAGCACATAAATAAAGAATTCCTGCCTGTCTTCCTTTATCTGAGGTCTCTACCTCTCCACAGGATTAACTGCAAATGTGTTTACAGGGAGATTATCGGCCCGTCAGAGGCGCCTCTCTATGATTTGGGGCCACAGAGTCTACAAGAAGTGCGCGCGCCTATGGTTTTTACTGAGGAGTGTTACACTTACCTCATTTTAAACCTTCTGAAAATTAAAATGAGTGGCCGGTACCATTGGGTGTCCAGTGAGTGTCAACAAGTGGGCCCGACAGTTGATTTTCAGGGTGTTTTTTTTATCTTTGACTCAGAGTTCTGAGAAACACTGTTGGAAGTGGATCGGACTGAGCAGCACAACACACTTGAAGCCAATCAGCAGTATGGGGCGTGTCTACTTATGATCGGGAGGAGAGAGAGTGAGCCAATCAGCAGTAGGGGGCGTGTCCACTCATGATCGGGAGGAGAGAGAGTGAGCCAATCAGCAGTAGGGGGCGTGTCCACTTATGATAGGGAGGAGAGTGAGCCAATCAGCAGTAGAGGGCGTGCCCACTCATGATAGGGAGGAGAGAGAGTGAGCCAATCAGCAGTAGGGGGCGTGTCTGCTTATGATAGGGTGGAGAGTGAGCCAATCAACAGTAGGGGGCGTGTCCACTCATGATAGGGAGGAGAGAGAGTGAGCCAATCAGCAGTAGGGGGCGTGTCTACTTATGATAGGGTGGAGAGTGAGCCAATCAACAGTAGGGGGCGTGTCCACTCATGATAGGGAGGAGAGAGTGAGCCAATCAGCAGTAGGGGGGGTGTCCACTTATGATAGGGAGGAGAGTGAGCCAATCAGCAGTATAGGGCGTGCCCACTCATGATAGGGAGGAGAGAGTGAGCCAATCAGCAGTAGGGGGCGTGTCCACTTATGATAGGGAGGGGAGAGAGTGAGCCGATCAGCAGTAGGGGGTGTGTCTACTCATGATGGGGGAGGAGAGAGAGTGAGCAAGAGGGAAATTTGAAGAAAGAGAGATGGCTGAGAGACATTACAAAAGACAAAAAGATCAGAGGAATTTCACTGGAAAAAGAAGGGTTATGATCAGGCAAGAGCTTTGTGAAACACGTTAATATTAGAAAAGCTTTCCAGTGTGAGCCATGAGCAGTGATGGGCGCTTTCGAAACACGCTTTGTGAAGCTTCGAAACCTTTGTTTCGAACCAGTGATTCAGAGTGCGTATCGAACTGCTAAAGTCATATGATTTCAGTAAGCGAGGCTTCGTTATGACAACTGTCATAACCGAAATTTCAATGGTTCACCACTAGGGGCAATCTCTGTGAACCCATGAACCATGTCTATATATGATTTTTGCCTGATCTCAGATCAATTTTATAAATTTGTAGACATTTAAATGACACATCTGTATAATAAAAAAGTTGAAGAGTGGAAGTCTAATCGGTCTGATTAACCAAGTTCTCCATAAAACAAAACAAAAAAACAAGCCCTACAATATAATTAAATAACACACATTATAAAGACACTTAATTTTTAATGATATTAGATGATTTGTTAATTGCATTTAATAGATTACACCTTCAATAAAACGTTTTCATGCATTTTTTTAGCTGAGTTTTCGCTGCATTTACACTGTTCTGGCCAGCAGGGGTCCCCAGCATGTGGCTTCGAAAGCTTAGCTTGCATTCATGAAATACTTAGGGGTCTCCTGGGAAAAAAAGTTGGGAACCACTGATCGAGAGCATGTTTACATAGAAAAAAAGCACAAGTTATTGAGACACATTTAAAAAAAGCGAAACTGCTTTTAACTTGAATGTTGTAGAACGCTGTGACACGACACGTGAGCAGTGCAGCAGTGGAATGAAAAAAAAAAGCAAGGCAAAACACGTCCACCCAGGGCATGTTTAAAGCAAAATGCAGCAGAGTGGAATGCAAAAACACATTCTGTGTGAACGGCCCACACTGTAAAAAAAAAAGTATATGATCAATAAGTTACAACAACGTGTTTTTACATTGCTTTTTTAACTCGTCAAAATAAGTTAAGCAATTTTCGACTTTTTTTTATAGGTAATACAAGATATTCAACTCATTTTTTAAAGTATGTTTAATGCAATTTAAGTTGAAATGCCTTAAATATCCAAGTTGATTGTACTTAAAAATATAAGGCAGCAACTTTTTTTACGGTGTAAGGGGTGATTCACACAGACAGAACATAATGTGAGAGGCAGAGAGATGAAATTACAGTTTTTAGAATGAAGGAGATGCTGCAAAATACATGAGACATGATTTATAAAAAATGGATTTGAACATTTTCCAGTTTCAGATAAATTTACCTTGATGCTGCGAAGAAACTCGTGACCTGGTAACCGAAGCTAGCGTAGTATGCATGTTCCATGATCGCCATCATCTGAATACAGTTATAACCTGTGTGTATGGCAATAAAGAGAGCAGTGATTATTAGCATATTTGTGTCATTGTTTGCTCATTCCAATGCTGTTCCAAACTCATATGACTTTCTTTCTTCAGTGGAAAATGAGATATTCTGAAAACTGCTCAAGTCAGTGAGCTGAACTCGGATCGAATCAGTCTGAACAAATCATGTTCTTTTGAATGAACAGGTTAGTCAACTCCAGTGACTCCAGGCACAGATACATTTCCATCTTTTCATCACACAAAGCTATCATAGGGCTTCAGAAGATATGTAATGTATGAGTGATCTGGAAAACTTTTATGGTCATTTTTGGTGCTTAACTCACTAAAGAAATATCATAAAAATCCCCTAGGGCTGCACGATGATGTGAAAAAAAATTGATAAAAAGTTTAAAATATTTAGCTCGAGGTTTGCTCAGCTCTTTGCTCTGCTTGTTTTGTTTGCAACAAACAATTATTTATAAAAAAAAATAGGGCTGCTAATGTTTTATGATTATATATCAATATGACAATAACAACAACATAAAAAAAATACTATAAAAATAATAAAATAAATTACTGAATAAAAACATTTAAAATATATATATATATATATATAAAAATATAGGGCTGCAAATGTTTTGTGATTATATATCAATATGACAACAACAACAACGATATAAAAAATAATATAAAAACAAAAAATAATATAAACAAATTACTGAATTAAAATTTTAAATAAATAAAATATAAAAATTACCCAAATATTATTGTAATATTTTACTGTAAAAAAAAAATCAAGATGTGAAAAAAATATAATTCTAATATGTCTTAATTCATTTTTTTAAACTTATTTACTTTAAAATATATAGTATTTAATTCAACAGAAAAAAAGTGTGGATATTTACATGGCATGACGCATACAGGTGAGTAAATGAGAGCATTTTAATTTTTGGATGAACTATTCTTTAAAAAAGCTTCAAATCTTTTAAGATGCTACATGCATTTTGTAAAAAAAAAACAGATTTGTGTCTACAGCAAACTTTTTGTTGTGATTTTTAGCTAAGTTTTCATGCAAAATAAACACGTGGGAGCCAAATAAGTCCAAATTCTGCTGTTCCTGAATTTGTGTAGCCGTCATGGCAGTGTGTTCGAAATGCCCACGCAGAGTACGATGGTTTCACATAATTCATAAACATCTGCTTTCGTTAACGAGAGGATATTATACAACACTTAACACACAAAATCTTGACAGGACAACACTACAACAAACACTGAGGTACAGCAGGAACAGTCAAACCCAACAAAATGGCTTTTTGTCTCTGTCCAGTAAGTGTCCACTACAGAAGTCAGGTCTTTTATGCGAACACAAAGGGCCACCGGGACGCACCGCCTGAATGACTCATCAGGTCACACGCAAGTCTTATCAGCCCGGATCAGCCACAAAACCAGCGTTTCGTTCCCCCACGCAAGCTGTAGCTGCACTGACACAGCTTTGAAACTGTACAGGAAGGACTCAAGAGGGAAATCCAGGCTTGTCTCACATAGGTTTTTTTTTCTGAGCAGATTGGTTTATTTATTTATCTAGCTAGCTAGCTATCTTCCTCGCCCTGCTTCAGAGAAAGTTTGGATTTTTGATGAGGTGTGACAGCACCAGGGGCTCATCTCAGCGATGATGCACCAACACGCGCACACACAGAGCACTTTTTCAAGCTTTTTAGATGCCAGAGCCACAGTTGTCTAGGGAAATGCAAACCAGTTACCACAAAACAATGAGAACTCCTGGGAGCCACAGACACGGTATGTTTTAATGCATGGACATAGGCATGAATTATTCTATCATAACATTTGTTTTTGCAAATGGCATTGTAGGACTTTACGTGGGAAGACGGTCAATTTCCATGTAAACATTCAAGCACACATACTTCTGTTTTTCCTACGAGCACAACATATATATTTTTTAAATATATATTTTCAGAGGAAACGCGAGTGGTGCAACTCACAGGCACCATGCTGGAGTTGGCCTGAAAGTTTTCAATGATTTCCTTGTCTCCGAGATGCCAAAAGAACCCACCACCAAGATATTTCTATAAAATGATTGTGCCTGCATATAGATGGGGCCCTCAGGGGCCTCTGTGGCCCTCCATACCAGATCTGTCTGCATTGTCCAAAATTGTCCATCCCATGTTTCTATGATTTTCTATTTTCTAGTTCTAAAAGTGATATTCTAAAGTTGAAATTTTGATTTAACGAGGCCATCACCAACACCAACCAACCCATGTGATTAAATTCAAACCAAAAATCAATTCTAAAACATTCAAATAAAATGTGTAAGAAATGTTAAATAAGAGATTTACGCCTGTTCATTATATAAAGCTTTTGAATAGCTTCAGAATTCTTGAAATATAGTGCATGTGACGCATGGACCACCATTTCACTATAAAGTCACTATAAAATCAAAATGGACAATTCTTGTTTTATTTTATACGGAATATTGCTGTATTTATTATAAATGATTGAGTCATCCATGCACATCATATATATTTTTAATTCATGTGTCCTTCTCCTCCCTCTTGCAGTGACATCTCTTCTCTTCAATGATGATGTGTTTACTGACATGAGGGCGGGGAAACCTGTCACATGAGATCGACCAATAGCAAACCACAAACATCCAATCAATTTCCCATGGACAAAATCAAGTCCACCCTACATTTTTTCTAGTTCAAAAAAACGTTTCGCTCGTATATACACTCACCTAAAGGATTATTAGGAACACCATACTAATACTGTGTTTGACCCCCTTTCGCCTTCAGAACTGCCTTAATTCTACGTGGCATTGATTCAACAAGGTGCTGAAAGCATTCTTTAGAAATGTTGGCCCATATTGATAGGATAGCATCTTGCAGTTGATGGAGATTTGTGGGATGCACATCCAGGGCACGAAGCTCCCGTTCCACCACATCCCAAAGATGCTCTATTGGGTTGAGATCTGGTGACTGTGGGGGCCATTTTAGTACAGTGAACTCATTGTCATGTTCAAGAAACCAATTTGAAATGATTTGAGCTTTGTGACATGGGTGCATTATTCTGCTGGAAGTAGCCATCAGAGGATGGGTACATGGTGGCCATAAAGGGATGGACATGGTCAGAAACAATGCTCAGGTAGGCCGTGGCATTTAAACGATGCCCAATTCGCACTAAGGGGCCTAAAGTGTGCCAAGAAAACATCCCCCACACCATTACACCACCACCACCAGCCTGCACAGTGGTAACAAGGCATGATGGATCCATGTTCTCATTCTGTTTACGCCAAATTCTGACTCTACCATCTGAATGTCTCAACAGAAATCGAGACTCATCAGACCAGGCAGCATTTTTCCAGTCTTCAACTGTCCAATTTTGGTGAGCTCTTGCAAATTGTAGCCTCTTTTTCCTATTTGTAGTGGAGATGAGTGGTACCCGGTGGGGTCTTCTGCTGTTGTAGCCCATCCGCCTCAAGGTTGTGCGTGTTGTGGCTTCACAAATGCTTTGCTGCATACCTTAACGAGTGGTTATTTCAGTCAAAGTTGCTTTTCTATCAGCTTGAATCAGTCGGCCCATTCTCCTCTGACCTCTAGCATCAACAAGGCATTTTCGCCCACAGGACTGCCGCATACTGGATGCTTTTCCCTTTTCACACCATTCTTTGTAAACCCTAGAAATGGTTGTGCGTGAAAATCCCAGTAACTGAGCAGATTGTGAAATACTCAGACCGGCCCGTCTGGCACCAACAACCATGCCACGCTCAAAATAGCTTAAATCACCTTTCTTTCCCATTCTGACATTCAGTTTGGAGTTCAGGAGATTGTCTTGAACATGACCACACCCCTAAATGCATTGAAGCAACTGCCATGTGATTGGTTGATTAGATAATTGCATTAATGAGAATAGAACAGGTGTTCCTAATAATCCTTTAGGTGAGTGTACGTCACAATATGGAAGAAAAGAATAATTGCAACTTCCGTTTCATGCGACTTTGACAGTGAGAGTCCCCATTCCCTTTCATTCTATAAAAAAAGTGTGACCAGAACATTCTCCACAGCACTTTGAATTTTGGGGAAACTAATTTGTAACTGTTATATGACCCCAATCGCTAAACCTCATCTTCTGTGTCTGGTGGATACTTGAAAATACCCCCAGCATCTCCAAAACACATCGCCACAATCAAATACACCTCTCTCCAACCCTCATCCACGACAGCACTAATGAACACTTCACACAGTGACTAAAGCCTGTAAACAGGGTGTTGACCTACAGAAAGGGGCTTGAGAGCCCAGAGAGAACACAGCCTCCCCAGAACATTGGTACCAGGGCCAGTCGCTTATCATCAATGCGGCAATGTCTGTCAGTTTAAGCACCACTGCAGCTCGGATACTTAGTGATGAAGGAGGAATGTTGGCAGGTAGAATATAACCTCACTCTGGGCTAAAAAAATAATGTTTGTATCCTTACTTTAATGGTACTGTGGTGCAGTGAAGTACTGGATGATTAATTCCAAGGTACTTTGATATATACTTTTGCACAAAATGATCACAATATTCATTTTGCAATATACCTTAATAGTCCGCTGGAATATTTTAAAAGAATACCATGATGTTGGTATATTTCCACCAAAAAAACATGGTAATACTGTATTATGGTACTTCTTTGTAATGCATCAAATGTATAAAGTGCTTTACAGACCTGCTACTGATGAAGTCCATTGTGCTTTTTGTTAGCCGAGGAAAATGAGATTGTGAAACTCTTTTTAAGAGCATAACATTGTGGTAATGAATTATCTTCCTCATCTGAATTGTCAAATGTCTTCTTTTCATTTAAAAAGTTTAGCTTAAACAATTATTTGAGGGAAGAAGAGTATTAAAGCGTGTGCCAAATTCTAAATTGAAAGCGGAAAAAGGACAATTGCATAACATTTTGTTTCAAAAGACCACAGAAAAAAATTATAAATGTTGAATGAATAAAAATTGTCAAGTGATTAATAATTACGGATAAAATTATTTGTTTAAAAAAAAATTTTTGAAAAAGAAATGTTACTGTCAAATACGCTAATTAACGTAAGGCAACAGAATGAAACGTGACTAAATGAAATGTGACAAAACTAAACGAAAAATAAAGTAAAGAATGAAATAAACTAAGAAAGAAAATAAAGGATGTGTTAAAAAAACACATTCATGTATATATATATATATATATATATATATATATGTATATTTGTTATTATATAAATAATGTATTTGAATGAAATGTTACTGACAAAGATACTAATTAAAGCAAGGAAAAAAATAAAACAAGCAACAAAACCAATTAAAAAATAAATAAATAAAAAACTAAACATCACAACACCAAAAATAAACAAAAGCTGTTTTTTTTTTTTTTTTTATAGAGAGGATTAAGCAACTTTGAAAGTCAATTTAGTACAAATTCTCATGATCTCAACAGTTTTGTGTCAACGAAGCAGTCTCTTACCAAGATCTTTGATCCTGGGCAGCACGTTGTGTGTAAAGTTGCTGTAGGATGCCACTTTGCCCTCAGGAGAAGCGATGCCAACGTGGGACTCGTATATCCGTAAGCTCCTGGGCTTCTGTGGACGAGGATGCTTGTGCTGGCACAGAAACAGCAGGGAAATATCTCTGGAACAATTCCTCATCCAAATTTAACATCACAGTATGAAACAAGTCCATGCCAATACAACTAAAGATAAGATGGAGCCGCTGAACAGAGCTGACAGTAGCTAATTTGGAGAATCTCATCTTATCATGACTTATGACTGGAGGACATTAACAAGCATATATAATTCATAGTCTGAGGAGATGATGTTCATGTCTCGACTTGACATTAAAGCAAAATTGCAGTAAGTAGAAACCAATGAAATGGCTCATGATGCATTTATAAAGCCATTTTCTTCATCCCCCTGATTTCAGACAGTTTGCTTTGCTTGGAAACTTTAATTAATAGGAATAACACACACACGCAAACACACATTCTTATTAAAGTAGGAAGCTTATTTTCACCATGGAATAAACTAATAAAAAAAAGGTAATTGTGACTTCTGACAAATCAGGGGTTTTTTCCTTCAGAATTGCGAGTTTATATCTCACAAGGGAGAGTTATAAATCATACAATAAACTGAGTTTACATCTCACAATTCTGACTTTTTTTCCCAGGATTTTGCATTTGCATGCAGTCAGGTCTCTAAAAAACGTGGTGGAAAAAAGTGAATTGGGAGATGAAACCTTTGAATTCAGAGGGGGGAAAAAAGTCAATTGTGAGAAGTAAACTCGCACGTGCGAAAAAATCTGAATTGAGAGATGTCAATGTCAATTTTATTTATATAGCACCAATTATCCCAACCTATGATAAAAAGTCGCAATTATCTTTTTTACATTTTTTTATTTTGTGGCGGAAACAAGGTTTCATACTATTTTTACAGGGTCACCAAAATTAAAAATGCATTACATGTACATAGTTATCCTTAAAGGGGGTATATGTAAGAATTTTAATGTATTAATTACTTTTTTAATGCCAATGTGTAAAAACCTTGTAACAAAACTTTTAAAAAAACGAGACTTTGCCCGACTTTCTATGGTGTCTATGAAACCCACTATACTGATATTTATGTGAAAATCAAAAGGATGTGACGTTTACGCACGCTCCTGAGAGCCTCTCATCCGTTCTGAGACTCTTGAAATGAATGCTTATACAATGTTCAGGAAAATGCCTAAAGAGCCATTCAACACTGTAATGTCAATGTGTCATGCAAATAAAAGGTCAAAGCCAGATCTATATAGTCTATAGTCTCAAATATACTTAATATACACTATCATAACAGTGTCATTTTAATGACATAATCTGTCAGCATGATGCCGGTGAAACACAGAGCTGCAAAAATATCCACATCGCTATGATCAGATGCTTTCTTAAATGCTGTTTTTTTCACCGCTGTCATTGTTATTGAGAGGAAAGTGCGCAACACATATTTATATCTAAACGTCGCTCTCAGCAGAGTCGGGATGTTTGTTAACAGTATAATATGATAGTATACAGTATAAACTAATAACAAGTGTTTCTCAATTCTACATATAGCCCCTTTAAACAGAAGGGTCGAAACTCAGAACTCATGATAAGTACAAAACAAAAGGTTGTGGCACACCGACGCTGGGGGGAAATAATCACTTACAATGTAAGGTTGAGGAGGGTCCCAATGTACCCAATCATAGATGACGGACTTCTCATGCTGAGTCACATACTTTGCCCAAGGAGAGATTCGGTAGAGTCGCTCACCGGCTTTGGTGTGAACAACCACCTGGAAAGAGAGACAAATGAAGGATGTTACGGCAAGGGCACACAGAGAGGGTGAGGACATGGGCACAAGCAAAGGGTGCAGGGTAATGCCGGTAAGAGAAAATATGTTTACAGCTGCCAGAGAGCAGGGATAAAGGGCCAATCTCATGGAGAAAGGTCACACAGTCCAAGCAAAGAGGACGTTTGAGTGGAGTCTGACCGCTGGAGGTGAAAGAGGTTTTGTGCAGAAAGAAATATGACTTTTAAATTGATTGCATCGAGAAAACCTTGTGGCAACAAACAGCTTCTGAAAGGTTTATGATCATTTTTAAAAGGGAAAACTGCATGGTTATCGATTTGATAACCAATTTAATTTAATAACCATAGAAAAGTCAAAGTGTGGCAATAAACGTGCAGCGTTCTGGTAAACACATTTGTGTTTGCTTATATTTTTATCTTGGCACTTGCTTTACAGGCATATACATACAAACTTGAAAGAGTAACATGAATAATAGATCAAACGCTTTCCGTTTTTACCAATATGCCCTAGATTACAACTATAGACAGAGAGGGCCGGAAAGATTACATGGGAACTTATGTTTGTGCCAGTGTTTAAAGCAACAGCTCACTCATAAATAAAAAAGTATGCCACAATTTATTCACTGTTATGGTTTTTTACAAACCTCTATAACTTTTGTAAGAACCCAAAATTAGATGTTTAGCAAAATGTCTAATCTATGCTGTTCTTTTCTATACAATGAAAGTGAATGGAGACTTGGGCTGTCAAGACCCAAAAATGACAAAAAGCACCATAAAAATTTCCTATTTTTATGATGCTTTTTCTGAGCCGTGGTCAATGTTTCACTCTATGGAAATCAGCAACCAGGCATTCTGCTGAATAACTATTTATGTTCCACAGAAGAAAAAAAAACTGTGATATGGGTTTGGAATGTCATGAGAGTGAGAAATTTTTAGAATTTTTATTTTTGACCTTTCGATGTCACTGAGGTGTGATGTGTAACGGTAACCATGTCCAGAAATGTTTATTATGCTATACTGTGTTTTCCTCACAGAGAAGATGATTTCTAGGGCTGTCTGAAATAAAGCTATTAGCCTGCACAAAACCATTGATCAGAAACGGAAAGGGTCATTTAATCCTCTGTGTACTATTGGCAGTGTTATTTATAGGCTGAAGCAAAACTATTCACTCGCAGATATTAAAAACTCATCACGTGTCCCAGATTAGACTACAGAAGCAATCCTTTCTAAAGGGCATTCGAAGGCAGCGTGTGAATTTAATGTCAGAGTGTGTTTTTCCATTGATCTGTACAGTTGTAGATGTGCACCAGATGTGGCGGCACAGGATTTATAGACGCCAGGAACGTGTGTGCCATTCAGAATTGAAAACGGTTTGCAAAAACCAATGTATAATATAATATAATATAATATAATATAATATAATATAATATAATATAATATAATATAATATAATATAATATAATATAATATAATATAATATAATATAATATAATATACGGCCAAAAAAAAAAGTCACTGTTTGGATTTAAATAGGCAAATGCTTAAGAGTCTATGATTGGATCATTATTGCAGTGATTATTATGTTTTTAGCATGTTATATGTTTGGGAACAGTTCTTCTAACCCTAACTGATGGAGTGTGTAGCTTTTCATTTCTTAAACAACCATGTAGGAAGACACATCATGACCATATTCCAGGATGACAATGTCAAGATTCACCAGGCTTGTGAAAGAAGAATTTATAGTCTTTTTTTTGTGAAAGAAATTGTGAAAGAATGGTTGTGAGGAGGCATGAAGAATCATTTTCACACTTGAATTGGCACCTCTGAGTCCAGACCTTAAAGCCCATCTTTCAAGTTGAAGATCCCTGTGAATAGATGTGTAGATAAATGGTGTAGGAACTCGATTTGCGTGAAGAAATTAATCATAAATGTGCATTAAAAAAGTTTTTTAAAAGAAATTGTGAGTAAAATTACTTCCGCTGTCAAAAACGCTCTGATCGGACATGACGCAACGGCCGGTAAATCTCATCTCTTCGTAATGGAGTCAGACATTGAAGAGGTTGCAGTAGGAGTTCATGTCAACTCTTCGAATGGGCCATTGCCGTACAATTATGAGCCACCTAGGCGAGAGAGGGGTCAGGCAGAGTTAAGGGGAAGGGTAAATGGACAGAGGAGAGAGATAGAGTTGTGGTGTGAGGAGAATCGGTGGAGAATTAGGCAGGTGTCTTGGTGAGTGACCACAGGCTATAGCTAGCTAATTGTGGCTAACGTTGTCTCCATGTTTATCACATTGCAGTATCTTTAACCCTCTGGGGACCAGAGTGTTTTTGGGGCCCTTGGGATGTTTTGACATGCACTGACATTTGTGCTTTTTTCAGTTATTTATAAACATGTTAATGGCAAAGGTGTAAATTCACTCTATATAGCACAAACTTGGCTACCATGAGATCTGAGCAACATGTATGTACATGTTTGTATTTTTAATAGAATAATGTTTATGCGTGGTTATTGAAAAAAATAAAAATGAAAGTTGCTGAAATAAGACCACAAAACACATATTGATTATTTCTTCACAAGACTTTTGAAAATTGTATCACATAGCCTAGAATATTTGCTCCAAAACTATGTGAGAATCATCCTGACTACTCATTCAGATAAGTCAATAAAGTCTTTTACATTTTTAATGACGTGTTTTGTTTGAGAAAGCTTTATGCAGGAGGCTTGATCTCTCATTAATATGTATGGCATTCCACACCTGAGAAAGACAAAGACCCTCCCATAATGGCCCTATTAGGTGCTATCAGGCCATATCATTACAGGAGCCTTGCACAAAGAATGAGGAGATTTAAAAAAGAATGGCTTTTAGATTGTTTGGATATTATAAGGAAAATACAGGGTGCATACGTCTGGACACTTCTATCACACACCCTTCACCATATAGACATGGTTTTATTTCAGTTCAAAGTTAGAGTTGGAAACATCTTGAAAAGAAAATTGTCTTTCTCCATAAATGTCTTAGTTTGATCATACATATTTCAAAGTTGAGGATTCATTATTTTGATATAGCTTGAACAAACACTATAACATCTTAGTTGATTAGTTTATTGACAAAACATACTATATATTTAACATATGAGCAGAAACTCCTAAAAAAGCTTATTTGATGTCTATTTTAGAGTAAAAACTTTATCCAAAACGAGTCAACGAAATGTTGTCTGTTATTTAGTCTGTAACAGTGCGTATCTGTGCGTTCATTCATTCATTCACACACACACACACAAACTGTGTGACACAAACATGATTCACATTTAACAGTATGCTATTTTTCCGTTTACAGACACTACGTTATTCTATATCGCGATTAGAACAAAGCACTTGCAAAAAACACTTACTTCTCAGCTGAATCTGTTCATCCTCGAAGTGAAAATAACCCAGTGGTAAATGTCCCAGGATTGTTCCACATATAGCCGCGCAAGACGACAGTAGATTAATCTGACTAAAAAATAATGTGTGTTTTCAGAGTTCATGGGCGTTAACGCGTCTCAATGTGTTGCTTCACATATTTGCGTTTGAATAGCGCGTGCTCTCCGTAGGCGTGTCACATTACCACAGATAATCAGCTGAGAGAACGATAATGAGATGGGCTGACACGTCTCTCTTTTTATATAGATGACATAAACGGAGAATAATAATTTTAGTTTTGAATCGGATCATTTAAAAGTACAAACTCAAATGATTTAAAAGATATATTGCTTATGGCTGGGTGAATAGTATTAGCTGAGTTGTGTTGAAGATTAGAGACGTGCTCCAGAAAAAAAGTTCACGGTGACCGAGAGGCAGAACGCACACCCTGTTTATTTTCTTTATTTTACAAAAGCACAATATTTTATTTCGATTGTATGTGGGCACATAAAAAAGTAGACATTTAACAGATTATTTTCTCATATTTCTTAACTCTATATGAACAGAAATGATGGTAGTACTTTAAGTCTATTTTTCTGCTATGTGAAAAAAAACGAGCAAAACGCGCCGGCGCGTTTCTGGTCCCCAGAGGGTTAATAAATCATATTTAGCAATATTGCTGTCGACTTTGTTGTTTTTCAAGCATCCATGTATATTGTCACCATCTATGCCAGCAACATGCGTCTTAAAATGTTTAATTTAGATCCCAGATTTTCCGAACTTAGCCGGCTGTTATACTACTCCAATAGTATTTCCGACGGACATTACGTAAATGAGCTCGCATGTACTGCGGAGTATGTGTATGAAAGCAGTTAGTGTTCCGGTTAGGACGGGAATATGCTGTTCATGTAAATATAGTCATTGTTACAAGGATCTTTTATTGTCATGTGGACTGGGTGTAAGGCATGCAGATAAATGCCATTACCACCCGTTCCCGCCCGCTGAATTTCTGATCATTACCACCCGTTCCCGCCCGCGCCCGCCGAATTTCTGACCATTACCACCCGTTCCCGCCCGCGCCCGCCGAATTTCTGACCATTACCACCCGTTCCCGCCCGCGCCCGCCGAATTTCTGACCATTACCAGCCGTTCCCACCGAATTTCTGACCATTACCACCCGTTCCCATCCGGTGTGAAGTGTTTTTCACATACCATCGTGTGTCTTGTCACCGAGGAGGCAGAGAAATTGCTTCTCTTTGCCTGGACGAAACGTATCCAAGCACAGAAATCTTTGTTTTTTTTTGTTTGGAAATCGGTGGACCCGATGACCAGACAAGTTGGAGTGGTTGCATCCAAAACAAACACAAGAATTCACCATTGTGACAATTCAAACCAACTCAACTAACATTACAACGATAACTACAAGCTCTATTTTCTGTACCACCTCTCAGACTACGTAAACCCACACTGAGAACCAGGGCAGCAACGCCTATTTGTTTGCCTGTCGTTGCGTCATATGACGCGTTCTCTGGAAAAGGGCGGTTTTTTGAGCCTAGCTTAGAATAGGTACACTTTTTCCTG